AGATCTAAATATCAAAACAGAAACACTAAATCTACTGGAAGAGAAAGTAGGCAAAAATCTCAAAGACACAGGGGTAGGTAGAGATTTCATGAACAAAACCAAACTGCACAGGAAATACTTCAAAGAATCAACAACTGGGATCTCACCTTATTGACAAGTTTTTGTACATCAAAAGAAATCACCAACAGAGTAAAAAGAAAATACATGAATTGGGAAAAAATTTTAGCCAACTGCCCCTCAGACAAAGAACTTCTATCTAGAACATATAAAGAACTAAAAAAAAAAAATCAGCCCCCCAAAATTTAAAGACCCAATCCAAAAATGGGCATCTGAGATGAATATGCACTTGTCAGATGAAGAAATACTAATGGCGAATAAATGTATGAAAAAAACGTTCAACATCATTAGTCATTCGAGAAATGCAAATTAAAACAACACTGAGATTCCATCTCCCCCACAAAGAATGGCTATTATTAAAAAAATCAACCAATGACAAATACTGGAGAGGCTGTGGGGAAAAAGGAACCCTTCTCCACTACTGGTGGGAGTGTAGATTGGTGAAACCACTGTGGAAATCAGTTTGGAGATTCCTGGGCTGGGGATTTAGCTCAACGGCAAAAGCGCCTGCCTGGCAAGCGCAAGGTCGTGAGTTCGGTTCCTGGTACCGGAGAAAAAACAAAAAAACAAAACAAAACAAAAAAAAGTTTGGAGATTCCCCACAAAACTAGGATTAGAGGTCTCACTTAACCCAGCTATTGCCCTTCTGGGTATTTTCCCAGAAGAACTAAAAGCATCATACCACAGCGATATATGTGCATCCATGTTTATAGCAGCACAATTTGTCATAGCTAAATCTTGGAAACAACCCAAAATAAATCTTGGCAGCACCCATCAACTGAGGAATGGATAAAAAAGATGTGGTATTTTTATACAATGGAATATTACTCAGCTATAAAATAGATAAACTTGAGGATTTTAGAGCTAAATGGATGCAACTAGTCATAAGTGAAATAAATTGGATCCACATGTGTAAACACTGTATTGTCTCCCTAGTGCAAGAACATGAAAAAATAAACAAAACCCCAAAGGCACAATAGATAATACGAAAGGGAAAGAACTGCTCACAGGAAGGAACAACTGGGATGAGGGAAAGAAGAAAAAGAACTAAGGCACAAAAAAACCCAACAAAATATATATACATATACGTATATAGAAGGATATCTGGTGTTTTTTTTTTTCTGGTAATTTATTGAAAGGAACAGTTAATGCTTAATTTTTTTATTTTTTGACCAATTTTGCATGCTTATATCTGATAACCTGAGCAACTGATATGAAGACAACAACAGGCAACATAACAACCACTGGTGAATTCCTCCCATCTTATCTAGTGAAACTCTGTATTGTCTCTAATTTTTTTTTTAAATTATTATTTTCTTATTCTCTTTAAATGATCTGATCAATCTTCCATTCTTACATCTGGTAATGTGAGCAACTTCGTTGAAGATAACAATATGTAATACAACAACCACTGTTAAGTCCTATCATTTGGTTTGAAACCCTGTATCATTTTTAGTGTTCTTGCTTTGTTTTGTTTGTATCTTTGTATTGTTCTTTTTTTACTATTCTTGTTAAAATAAAATAAAATAAATAAATAAAATAATTATACTAGAAACTCACTTTTCTGTGAAAGGTAGAATTAATAAGTCTACATTTTAAGGGATGAAAAGGGAATTAAGCTGTGTTATACACACACCAACTCCACACAAGTAATGTACACATTGTATACCGCACACCTGGACTAACAAAAATAAAGCCAGGCACGGTGGCACACACCTGTAATCCTAGCACTTAGGAGGCTGAAGCAGGAAGATCATCACAAGTTTAAGGCTAGCATGGGCTATATAATGAGTTCAGGGACAGCCTGAACTGAATGACAGCCTGTTAAAAGAAAGAGAGAGAAAGAAAGCCCTGGGTTCCATCACCAGCACCACACAAAAAAACCCCACAAGGGGTTGGGGATTTAGTTCAGCGGCACAGCACCTGCCTGGCAAGTGCAAGGTCGTGAGTTCGATTCCCGGTACTGGAGAAAAACAAACAAACAAACAAACAAAAAACCCCCCACAAAACCAAAAAACAAATAGAAAAGTAAAAAGGTACTAGTTTTGTCATGCCTGCTCTACTCCCTTCTCCAAGGGCATATCTCATGAGTCCTCACTTCCACAGCAGGCAGCTTCTCCCAACACTGGCTTCCCCTCATGTCCCCATACACAACAGCCTGGTCTCCTTCTCCATCACTGCCTTCCTGCAACCCACCTAGCATACCTGTAACACGTCAAAGCAGGACAGATCACACCGCACCTCCACTGAAAAGTTCCAGTCTCTAAACAACTTCCCAGTTCTCTTGGGCAGACCCTATTAAGACACTGAAAAGGAATGTTACCTCCATTTCCCTACCAGCCATTACCTCACAAATCATTGGCAAAAAAATTTATACTTCAAATAAAACACTACACTGAAAACACCCCCTAACATTTTAATAGGCTGTTTAAAAAAAAAAAAAAAAGGCAAGCTGGGCGTGGTGGCACACACCTGTAATGCCAGCAAGCAAGAGGCTGAGGCATAAGGATCACTGTGAGTTTGAGGTCAGCCTGGTCTACACAGTTAAGTTCAAGGCCAGTCTAAACTATATAGCAACACCTTTTCTCAAAAAAACAAAAACCCCACACAGACAAAAAACAGGTATCAAAATTACAGCATGTTTTGTTGAAACTGATGTGCCATCTCTCTTACAATGAAATGCAGAGTCCAAAACAGCCAGAGAATTTTGAAAGAAACGAAACTGGAGCTCTTACAGTACCTGAGAATAACAAGCTGGGCACACAGTACTCAGGCACCAACCTAGACAGACAGACCGGCCAATGAATAGAGACTGTAAACAGTCCACAAGATATGTAATTTCCAACAGAAGCTCCAAGTAACTCAACTGGGTTTGATAACAGATAACCACAGATCATTCTAAACCTTGGTTTCTTCTAATACATGTATCCTCTGTGGCAACAAAGACCCGCAACCCTGGCCCTGGACAGCACCTGCCTCACCTCAGGCAGTGGTCACTAATGCCTTGTTTCCTCCAGAGGTTCCTTATCTATACCTGAGCAGATACATACATATACATAATTTCCTCTTTCTATCCTGCTGGTCACACACCACAAACATCTCTGCACTGGCGTTTTATTGATATACCCTTCTTTGTTCTTTTGTAGCCACACAGAATCATTTCTCCTATGAGCACACCCTTCTGTCCAATGACCCTCCATGGAGAGACCTGTCAGTATTTCCAACCCTGTGGCACAAGTGAAATTTGTGTTTCCAATCCTGTGGCACTTAAGTGAAATTTCTCAGAACATGAAATAGAGAAAGTTCACAGTGTTACCATGTAACAGAGATGTCAACCCATTATTCTTAGCAAGAAAAAAACAGAATTAGTGCTGACAATCACATTAGCAGCTTATACAATGCCTAAGTATCCATTTATTACAAGGTAAGTTTCTTCTTGCTTCCCTCATGAAGACAGGGCTCATAGCCAACCTTCCCAAGTAACACTTCTGCACCTACCAGGTACCTCGTATTTAAATACTGCCCCAAACATTTCAATAAACACTGTCACACATGATTTAAAAATTTCATGTAAGGGGGACTGTTTATATTAATGTATTTCAAAAAGGAAACGAACATTTATATTTCTGGAACCTTCAAGGAAAAACACAAAACAGAATTTTATGACACAAACATGATCAAATATACCAGCTATCAATTTGTTCAAAATGCAATTATTAAAACTCTTAGAGCTGGGCGTGGTAGCGCACACCTATAATCCCAGCACTCAGGAAGCTGAGACAGAAGAATCACTGGAGTTCGAGGCCAGCCTGGGCTACACAGTGAGTTCAAGCCCAGCCTGAACTGCATAGCGAGACCATCTCAAAAAAACAATAAAAAACAGACTCTTAGAATAAAAATTGCTTTGCTTTCTGTTAGATGAAAACAAATACACTTGTTTATCCCACATCTTGAACAAAAACACTCCTGGTTACCTACCTTTGCAGCTCGTACAGCTTTGATTTTCAGCAGCATATCCACAAAAGCCACACGTACTTTCTCTGAGTTGTCATGGAGACTGTATCTGAGTGCTGGCAGCAGCTGTTCCAATAAAGGGTGGCTCAGTTTGTTATCCAAAATTATTGGCAGGCACTATGTTAAAGGAAAAATATTTCAAAATCAGAACATGCCAATAAAAAGTTCAGCTAAGAAAAATTCATTTAGAAAACATGCAGTTACATGTTTACTAGATTTACTAGAGATAAATATACCTACAGAAAATAAATTTTCCCTCAAAGTTTCATAACAAAAGTATACTTTTAATGAAATGATATGGTTTCAAAAACTAATAAGCACTGCACCCTTTGCTGCATTCAGACAAGACTGAAGAAGTTACAAAGAGGAGGGTGTTGGTGAGAAGAATGAGAACATGCGGGCCAAATGGGGCCACTTCTAAAGTTGAACCAAAAACCCATTTATTTTTTAACAGTCCACAAACTCTGTGTTTCCTGACTCAATATACATGTTTGTTTAACCCACAGAGCTGACCCGCACATAGTCAGACCCCCGGTGGTGGGAGGCCAGCACCTGTGGCAGTCGCAAGTGCTAGCACAGGATCTAAGTGCCCATATCCGCAGGGCTTTTCTACCTTGTTACTGGAAAGGACCCTTTTGCTAGTTCTTTTTTTGCAAGTTCTTACCAAAACAGCCTATGTCAATATCCTGTTGAAGTACACAGAGCTACTTTCTAAAGTACCACACCCAAATGCAGACTGACTCATGCATCCACCCACACCCATGTTTCCATGGCTGCCAAGGCTTCTGGCAGCCTCCCTTCAGCCCAAACCCTCTATGATGGTCAAACTCAGTGTGACTGAATTAAGAGATTTCTGTAAAGGTGACTACATCATGGGAGAGCTAGACTCATCAGTGCATTAGCCCTGATGTTCACAGCTCAGTGTGCTGGTAGAAGATACGGCCCAGCTGGAGGTGGTCTCTGAGAGCTGCCTTTGGAGGATGCATCTCTTGCTGGCACTGTTCACCCTGCTCTGCTTCCCAGTCACCATGAACTAAGCAGCTTTGCTTTGCTACAGCCCTTCCCAGTGCTGTTCCTGCCTTGGTGCAAGTGACCATAGACTGAATCCTCTAAAACTATATACAAACAAAACCTCTCTTCATTTAAGTTGTGGGTATGGGGTATATCACCCCAGTGGGTTTGGCAATAAATACGGAAAAGGGAAATGAACATCTGGGGACTCTTGGAGAGTAAAAGGCTGCACTAACAATGAGCACAGAGCAGCAGAGCAACCACCAACACACCCAACAGCAGCACCTGGAAGCTGCTCTGCAGAGGAAGAGGTGGGGTCCTTTCCAGGGGGGCACCAAGGAAGAGCTGCTGTCTTTCAGGATATTTGAGCAGGAGCACAGGACAGAACAGCTCCCACAGCAAGTATGCAGAAGAGAGTCAGGTAGGCAGGTCATAAAGGATCACTGGGCAACATGGCAGGGCCAAAGACCATTTCCCAACCTGTCAGCCCCCTTGAAAGGGAGGAGAAAATCGCCAGTGCTGAGCTAAGGTCACTTAGCTCCTCTCAGCTGCCACCCTGGCAGCAACACACTCTCCAAACCCAGTGCCCAGAGCACTTGTGGTCAAGGTCTAGGCACCTGCCCTGGCTCACTACCACATCTACCCTCCATTCTATCACCAACAGGAACAGAGAAAATGAATCAGTGACAACTACCTAATGTCTATGGTACAATTTTGACAAACCCCAGGCACTGTGTCCTGGTGGCTCAGAAAGCAAGGTGTAAGCTGTCTTCGGAAACAATGAACCAGTGAAGGGCTGGCATGTAGAATGTAAAAATGACTCACATTAATCCTTGTATGTGGACATACAAGATATCTGTATAAAGAAAATTACAATCCCTTTGTAAGAAAGACTTACACGCTGGTCAATTGTGAAGGTGCCAGACATCCTCAAAGAGGGGCAGAGGATCAGCAGGAAGCAGAAATACCAAGGCCAGGCTCATGTGAAGAGGGTGGGCCTCATACCCTCACTGGTATTTTGGAGAGCATTCAGCTGTCCCACATCGCCAGTATCCGGCCACAGCACCTCACAAGTCCTGCACATTATGTTCTGGGCCTATTTACACATGCATCCCCTTGCTCTAAGACGTCTCACAGGGTGCTGGGAGTACCCTCCCGAAACACTACATTAACCAGTATTTTTTAAAAACAATCTTTATTATTTACTTATTTATTTGTTTGTTTGTTTGATACAGGATCTCACTATATAGTCCAGGCTGGCCTCAAGTTCACAGCGATCCTCCTGTCTTGGCCTCTTGAGTGCTGGTATTACAGGTGTGTGACACCAGGCCTGGCAACTAACTAGTATTATGTCAGGAGTCACTGTCTATAGAAAACACTTTTGGTTTCTTTTAAGCCTTACTTTGGAAACACAATCTAAGTATCGATAGTATTATCTCTATGTAAGAGGATAATGGTTTTTTTTTATCTTTTCCTTTCTCTGTACTTTATAACTATTCTACAATAAATATTGCTTCCACAATTGTAAAATCTTACCTTAAAGACAGAGCAGCGCACATCAGCTGAGCTGGTATCAAATGCCAGCTCCCCAGTTACTTTCTTCAGGAGGTCAATGAGAATGGTGGGTGGCATCATTTCCCAGTACTTAGATGTTATTTTACAAACACCAAGGATTCCTGTGGAACGGACCATCGGATAAGGATCTTCTAGAAGACTCTATAAGTAGGAGGGGGAAAGCCTTAAAAATCTTAAATGAGTTTCCTTAATATCAGTATCTGTTTTATACATTAGCACTTTGGGAATTTACAACTCAATAAAAGACATTTAAAGTTATAGAAATACTGATCATATGCTCATCTTCCCTCAATACCCAAGGTAGATGGCATCCACAATCAGGGTACCAATCCTCAGCTGGTTAAAATCCTACATTAATTAACAGGGCAGCATCTGCACATCATCTTCAGTCATCTCTGGATCACACCTAACACCTAAAATAATGCTCTGTGAACACCTGCTGTACTGTGTTGTTTAGGGAATATGGACAAGAAAAAAGTCTGTACATGTCCAGTACAGGCACAACTTTTCCAAGTATTTTCAAAGTGCAGTGGGTGAAATCCAGACACAGAACCCACAGCTAAGGAATGCCACTGTGTGTGGATTCCTGGGTCCCACATTGCCTGTATTTAAGAAAAGAAACCTCAAACATGGGGTGCTGTATGCCAACTCTTCTACAGGTCTTTCAATAGCAGCCTCAAGCATCAGCCCCATCTTGTGAGCTCTGTCAACCTCAAGAGGCATCCAGTAGACACTACCTGTGGTGACAGCTATCTGGAAACCCAAAGTGCTGTGATGCACAGGGCCCACAGTAAAACTCTGCTGTGATGCAGTAAGGCAGGCAGCACTGCCTACAGGGGTTAACACTTCAAAAGGAGAAAGTAAGGCAGTCTAGTCTGGTCACATACACTCCAAAGAAGCACAGGATGACATCAGGACAAATTCTCACACACAAACATAGATGCACCCATATGGACCCCCTCAACTGCATGTAACTACCAGCTCCCAGGAAACTCAAGGGTGGGCCCAGTAACATGTTAGAGGCACCATGGAAATGAGTTCTACAAAACAAGCTCTGGGAAACTCAGTAGACAAACTTACCCAACAATATCAAAAAGAGAAAGTTAAAAAGAAAAAGAAGCCTAGCATGGTGGTGGACACTTGTAATCCTAGCACTCAGGGAGGCTAAGGCAGGAGGACCACAAGTTCAACCCTAGCCTGGACAACTTAATTTAGCAAGATCCCATCTCAAAATAAAATGTAAAAAGGACTGGGGATATAGCTCAATTGAAAGGCCTCAGGTTTAATCCCAGTGCCAGGAAAAAAGCAAAACAAAAAAAACAAACACAGAAAAAGAAAAAGAAAAAAGAGGGCTGGGGGTTTAGCTCAGCAGCACAGCGCCTGTCTGGCAAGCACAAGGTCTTGAGTTCGATTCCCAGTACCGGAAAAAAAAAACCAAAAAAAGAAAAAGAAAAAGAGAGCTTGCTAGAATGGGAATTTGTAGTCTAGCAATATCTGAATCTTAGCTAGATACAAATTCAAATGAACCCAGCAAAATGGGAACAGTGAGCGGGTGTTTGATGACATCGAATGGGATGGTTACGTTTAGAAACAAACAAAAAAGGTCCTGTATTTTAACATTACTTGCTGAAGTATTTAGCTAGAATGATGGTATTTCTGATGTTTCAAAACAAAAGTCAGATTAGGCTTCCTAGGGAAGTACTGAACCAGCTATGGGTACAGAGGTATCCATTATACTACTCTACTTTTTATTACGTGTGAAACTTTTACGGACTAAACTCTTTAAGTACAAAATAACTTTTAATTTCTTTTTCAATTAGAAAAAGAAGGGCTTCAAAGTGGATTAAGCACTTACCTATCTCCCTCCCCAAATTAAGTAAATAAAGTGTTTAGTGATGACACAAACAAAAGGATTGAGGAACTTCTCTAAGACAGAGTTAGGGTCAGTTTCAGACAGAGAAGCAGAGACACCCAGAGGAAGAAGCAGAGGCAGTGTGACTGGGACACTCTGACAAAGGGTCACTGAAGCTAAGGATCAGAATCAGGGTCACAGAGACAGGGCACTGGCTCCAGGCAGGAAGATATGTGGCAACACCTACCAGTAAGCACGTGCATGAGGACAAGTGAACACAGTGACCAAAGCCAGATCGTGGGGGAGGTTCCAGGAATAGACACTGGAAACACAGACGGGTGAGGACTCCAAACATCCACAAGGGAGTGCAAGGAGTAGGTGCCAAGGGGGGGCTCCCTGCTGAGTAAAAGGCAACCAATGCCAGCTACAAACCAGAGCTGAGGAGTGGCCACCACACAATAGCGGTGCCACAATCTGCACTTAGCTGAAGCCCATCAGCAGCTCCATCACATAAGACACGTACATAAAGTTCTTCAAATTGTTTCTGAATTTCACTATCCATCTCCATCGCATGGAAGTTAGGATCTCGAACAGGAAATGCCTCAACAAACAACAATGCAGCATTTGATCGAACTTCAGAGTTCCTGGCCTATAAAAATGAGAATATTTTTTAGAATCCCAGAGACAGCAAAAGCTGAAGTCTAATGTTCCCAAACTAATACTATTATCTCAACACAGACTTAGATGCAAATGAAAGACAACTATAACATTTAAATTGGCCAAACTGCGCTGTGGGTAGCTCAATGATGCTCAGTATTTCTGAGGCCCTGGGTTCCAACATCAACCAGTCACCAAACTTGGTGAGACTGACATTAAACTAACCCAAAACTCAGTTCAGGGCCCACAGATGTTAAAAGATCAGCTTCTTTACTTCAGTGCACTTCACATCATTAAGAGACTGCCATCTGAAGAGGAGACTCCCATGTGCACCAAAATGCTCGCCAGGAATGGCTGGCCTCCAGCCAGTCACCAGCTGGCGGGCCAAAGGATGGGCATGGGGACGTCTCTGTAGCCCAACCAGCCTTGGAAGCACTCATACACACCCACCCCTTCCCATTTGGCGGCTTCAAAGCAGCCTTTTTCTCGGCACTCAACTGATCTACTTTTCCAGGTAGGCCAAGAAGTGCTTTTAACAAAAAAAGACATGTTGAGAGCTAAACATGGTGGTGCTCACTTATAGTTCCAGGTACTCAGCAGGCTGAGCCCAGGAGTTCAAGGCCAATCAGGGCAAAACAAAGAAAATAAAGTGAGACCCATCTCAAAAAAATACATACATACATACATACATACATACATACACAGATAAAAGAAAAAGACGAAAACATTTTCCTCTACATAATTCCACAAAGCACTCAGTAACCAGTCTTGTTTTTACTATCTCATTACACTCTGAATTAGCAATGGTCAATTCAAAGTACAATTAGTACATGTGACCATGGATACCTTATTTATTCTTACATAACGATTACATTTATTGTGGGGAATCTGTACGTGTACATAACACATCTCACTCTCCCCTTATTGGCCAGCATCAGATTCATAGGATATACTGTTTGAAATGTATACCTTTAGTCCTCGCCAAAGGATGGGCTTATATAATCTATACAGCATCTCTTCCACTCCCTGCCGAACATTCTTTTGATGCTGAAAGTAACTCAGCACCTAAGGTTTAAAAAAAAAAGAACATGAAAATGAAAAGAAAGAAAGGCAGTGCTATTACTTTTAAAAAATATTACTTGAAAAGATCAGCGAGAGGGGTCATTCTCTCCACCCTGCAACCACATCCCTTAGTGAGAAGTAGGACAGCACTGGATGCGGTGAGGCATGAGACAGAGGTCTGCTAGTAGAGCACAGCTTGGGTTCTAATTTCTACTATCCAAGCCAGGCATGACAGCACAACTACTGGGGAAGCTGAGGCAGGAGGATCATGTGAGCCAACCTGGGCAACCTAGCAAGATCCCGTCTCAAAAAAAATAACATAAATTTTCAAAATAAATAATTTCTACTGGCTTAATAAAAGCTACATAATCTCAATAAAACTGTCATTTAACCTCTGACCTTCAGAACCACGCAGGAATTGGTTCTTCTAGGTTCCAAAAGTGCCCATGACACCTGCTGCCACTGACTAGTGACACACAGTGGCTCTGGACACAACTCCCTGGTGAAAAGGGACCACCACTTGTGACCCTTCATTTAGGTACCAAGTTCTTCCCAAAATTTATGCATCACCAGAAGACACATCATCCTGAGGTTCCATTCCTTTCCAGCCAGACCTGACCGCAACTGTAGAGACTTGGGTCCCCAGCAACAGTCACCTTTGCCTTACCTCTGTGATTAACTTCTCTAGAAGTTAAAATTCACTAGTGAAAATGGAAAACAGAAAACATTATGCAGGCTCTTAAACAACCACTTACTCTTGAAGTGAGCTTGTAGCATTAGGACCCTAAAAAAAACTATAGGATGAGAATTATTTTTTCAGGTTGTTAATTTTGTTTCAGTTTTGTTGATGGTGATAAGAGGCTTTACTCTGCAGCTTTCTTCTTGTGTCCATATTATCAAATTCTGGCATCAACAGCATACTTGCTTCATAGAAAGATGCTTTAAACGGCTTTGTTGAGATATAACACACATGCCTCTAGAACTCACTCTTTTACAGCACATTTCTGTCTTAACAACAGCATACCTTTGCTTTCCTCATTATGACGCTGATGGCAAGAATAAAACTGCCAGATGCCAAATACCAAGATTCTGAGAAACCCCTGAATGACAGTATGCAAGCACAACTTAATTTTTAAACTTAACCAAAATGATATACAAATACAAAGGATGAGACACAATCTTCTTTTCTTTCTTTTTGAGACAGGTTCTTGCTATGCAATTCAGGTTGGCCTTGAGCTCACTTTGTAACCCAGGCTGGTCTCGAACTTGTAACGATCCTCGTGCCTCAGCCTCCCAAGTGCTGGGACTGCAGGCATGCACCACATCCAATGAGACACAATCTTAACAATGTGTTCACAATCGACGTGATTGAAGGTGCCCACTCACCTCCCGTACTTTGGTGTGCACTGGAGACCTCCTGGGAAGGTGGATGCCATGGAACATCAAATCCTGGATGCAGTCATTTTCGATAGTCTGAAACACACACGCAATGTAGCACTTGGTGCCTATGTCCCACAGGTGGAAGGGTTGCACTGCCGCATGGAGTAGGGTCTGAACTTCCTGAAAACCTTGAGCCCATTGTTTCCTGGAGCTTTCTGAAGGTTTCTCCACACCCCTCACAACTAAGAGAGTGCAAGCAAACCTAGTGCTGCAGACTAGCTCACAGGGGAGTTTAGGGTCTGACAGTGAGATGGGTGCCCATGGGTAGAAGCCCCTCCAAGCCAGGAACACCTGGACCTGTTCTAAAAGCCTGCCCAGAACTAAGAAGGAACTCCCCCTCCATGGAGGTGGGAAATCCGAAGCAACTTAAATAAGACCTCTCAAGGCTGCCCCTGAGAAGGGCTCAGGCAAAACAGGATGTGTGCACTCTACACAGCCCACTGCACTGAAGGTCCCAGGAGAGGCCCAGCCTGTGAGAGCAGCCAAAGCCTACTACAGCCCTGTCTGTAACACACCTGGGCCTGCAGCTTCAGGAAGGACACAAGATGGCCTTGCTATCACAGCATGGCCTCTTCTCAAATGGGGCTGAAGATATTCCCTTCAGCATCACTAAATGTGGGCAGTATCCTGCTGGACATGTAATGGGACATGAGACAGATCATACCACCTATAAACCCACTGGTGCCACAAGGGCTGGACCCAAACTAACCGCCAGAGGATGGAGACTCTCACACACCTACGGCACAGGTTCACAAAGGAAGCAAGGGAGAAATGTCCTGAGTGGCTGAGCAGCAAACACCAGGGGAGCAACATTTTGGATCCTGATTCAAAGACTGAGAAAGACACCATCAGACAATAACAGTTTTAAATTTTTTTTTTTTTTTTGGATTTTTTTTTTTCTTTTGAGGCAGGGTCTAATTATGTAGTGCAGGGTAGCCTTGAACTCACTTATATAGCCCAGGTTAGCCTGAAACTCACAGCAATCCCCCTGCCTCAGCCTCCCAAGTGCTGGAATTACAGGCATGTATCACCATACCCAGCCCTAAAAGGTTTAAATATGGTCTGATTATTTCTAAAATACCACAGATTTATTATTAACTTTTTAAGATACTATAATGGCACTGCATAACCACATTTTTGGAGATGCACAATGCACTAGGTAGAAATGCAAAGTCACATCCAGAATTTGCATTAAAAATGTAAGGAGAGAAGGAAGAAGGAGAGGGAATGAGGCTGAGAAGGGTGCTAATTGTGAACATGTCCAGTCAAAAATAAAGTATTCATTAAAAACTCTTAGTTTTTGAAACACTATTGGAGAAAAGAGGGAGACACTCCAAGGACAAATATTCTTCCTAAGAACAGGTTTTTTGTAGTAATAAAACACATTGAAAAAATGCTTAAGAACATCCTGGCTTTGCCACTTTGCTCAATAAATTACATATTCTAAAACTATTTTAAGGGGCTGGGGATTTAGCTCAGCAGCACAGCGCCTGCCTGGCAAGCGCAAGGTTGTGAGTTTGATTCCCGGTACCAGAAAAAAAAAACCAAAAAATAAAAATAAAAAATAAAACTATTTTAAACACTGTCCACGGGGGAATGTAACAGATAATTTTTGTTTTCTAGAAGTGGAAGTCAGTGGTTAGCCCCGGCAGTGGAAACCAAACTTCATGTGGGCAGAAACAAACTACAAAAGTGGCCATGCCCAGCTCATCCTGCCTGCTCCATAGCCTGCTCCCCAAAGAGCAGCGTCAGGGTGGAGGGCACTCACCAAGGATGCCTCCTCACTTACAGCAAACATTTTACTCTCACATCTGACTACCTCGAATGGTGTCCAATACTGGAGGCTTAACTGGGATTCTGAATTACATCATCATATCACTATAGCATAATTATTACACTTACGAAAGGCCAACCAATCATATTGAAAATGAAGGTCTCTACGTTCTCAAAACAAGGTTACCGAAAGAGGCACTGAAGGTGCTGAGCGAACAACAGGCTGCACACACAGCTTCACACTTTCCAGTGGTCACAGTAAAAAAAGGTAAAATGATTTAATAATATACTTTGTAATATGAATAATGCATTTTGTTAGTATCTTAATATTTTTGTTTACACTTACATATTTTATACATGTATATATTTATGTACAAATACTTTAATAGTTTTATTTATACTACATTATATTTAATAATGTACTTTGTACATCCAAATTGCTATGATTTCAACATGTAATCGATATTTGTAAAAAGTACCACAAATATCAATTTTTTGGGGTATCAGAAATCGAACTCAGTACCTTACACTTGCTAGGCAGGCACTTGTGCCACTGAACTATATCCCTGGCCCGAGATACTCTTTATACAATGTCTTTGAAATCTTATAGTATCTTCCACATACAGCACACCTCAGCTCAGAATGGCCACCTTCTGAGCACCCCAAAACTACATGTGGCTGTACAGATCCAGAGCAACCAAACTGGGGCAAAGTCCCAAAAGCATTCCGGTTGGAAATCCTAGGGAGAGTGCAGACTCCCAAACCTATCACTTGGCTTTCTTTTCACAGGCAGCATGAAGAGGGGTTTTAAGGAGACCTCCCTTGACTATTTACTTAGTAACCAGAATACAATGAACATTTAATAAAATCAAAATACCTCTAATATTCTCCCTGAAGCCTTCTTCCAAGCTCTGAAATAAATTTCTGCAATGTACACCATCAATGATCTATTCAAAAAAACAATAAAAATATTGTTAACACAAGCTTAAAGAATCATACCATTAGCACATTTGGTCTCAGTGACTCTCCTGGTTCTAGAGGGGAGTCTCAGGTGAGGCAAGGCCTTGCTTGTTGTTTATAGAGCTGCCACTTCCCTATAGCAGAAAGTAGGAAAAGGACTTGTGTGGCGAGTGGAAATCAAAGAGACAGTCAACTCGTGTGCCTCTGCACAGGGTTCCCCACAACCCTCCTACTTTCAGAGAAACTAAGACATGAGCCCAGACCAAATCTGAAAGTCAAAGTCTAAATATAAGTAAATGTTTGGTTTGGACTCAGTTTGGACAATTCAGGCTCTAATTCCTCACCCACAGGAAGTCATAACATATCAGAGTTGACATGAGAATCACAGAAATTTAGAAATTATTACATCTAATTAGTCTGCAAATGAGCAAATAAGAGAAAGCAATGTGAATCCAGTAGAAGCTTTGCAATCAAGAGATCCAATACTTAAGGGGTTGCCTGGAACTGGGAAATTCAGTAACCAAAGTCCACCTCAAAGGAGAGTTGTGGAAAATGACACTTAAAATGCAGACCAAGTACTCAGCACCAGCACAGGAAAAGCAAAAGCTCTTAACTACTGCCTCACAAGAGGAGGCAGTGCTGGGACCAAAAGGTTCCATGCTGGCTTCTCCCCATTCTTACACGGCAGCACTCTTTTCAGAAACCACACAACTCGTCCATACTCAACCAAGAAGTGTTACCAAGATGGCACAGGCATGTGAGTGTGTCTAAGGGGCACATAATCTATTTAAGCAACTATCGCACATTAAAATCTTAATCTAAATGGTCGCTACTGAAAGATTATTTACTACAGAAGGAAAACAAAAGCCAGGCATGGTGGTGTACATCTGTAATCCCAGCACTCAGGAGGCTGAGGGAGGAGGATCACAAGTAAGCCAGCCTGGGCTACATAGTGAGCTCAAAGCCAGGTTGGGCTACACAGTGAGACCAGACCCTGTCTCAAAAATCTAGAAAAAGTAAACAACTACCCAGTGATACAGTAGTCTATAATAATAATATAAGATACAATTTTTAAAGTTTTCAGTACATTAATATAACTCCTAAAAGATTAAACACTCTTTCAAAATCAGATTAAGATAGCACAAACATTTAAAATACTTACTTTTGTAATCCCTGCAACTGGTTTTTAATGGTTCCATGAATCATTTTAATAAAGTTTACATTCCAATTGAAGAGAGAACTAAGAAATCTTCTTCCCTATAGGTAAGAAATAGGATAAAACTGCACCTAAATATAAAGTTCCTGTTAACAAGTCTTTAACTACTTATTACTATTAAAACTAGCCGTTCCTAAATAGAAGTACACATGGTTCTAGTGTGGAATGGACACAGGCAGCTCCTGTCTGCAGAACTTGCTTTGGGGCACACAGAGGTCTCCACCCCCACTGAGTGGCTATGCTGGGCATCTCTGTCCCTGCAGAGATCAGATACAGCATGCAGCCATAAACATTTCATGCTGGCTCGGTCATGGACAGCTAATATAAAACCACACAATGCCTGAAATCAAGCATTCAGAAGTGAGAACTGAACTAACACTTCATTTTCCTTTAATAAATAAAAAAACCGAGAGTCATTTTGTTAAGAGGCTATTTTCCAGGCAAGAACTTTCAAATATACAAAGCATTCAGTTCACAAGTGACATTACTCATATCATGTAATAATTTACGTACATATTACTGGATTATATATATGAATCTGAAAGAAGGAATATGATATTTACACTCTGGAGAGTGCATCAACTTCATCGCTCACAAATCTTCAGTGACAGCACCATGTGTCCCCACCACTCCCTAGCATCCACTGTGAGCTGTGTCCCACAGAAATGCAGACTCTGTGACAACTCCAATGCAGCAAATAGGGTTGTGACAGCAGTGTCTCCTGGCAGGAATTTGCCAGTAGAGTACAGGACATCCATGGTTTACCCTAAATGGCTAGCAAGTGGCCTGACCTAAATAATGTCTGACTGGGAAACAGTGCAGACACCTTAAACTCAGAGAAGCATATCAATTTTTTTTATTTTTTATTTTTGGGGTGCTAAGACTGAACCCAGGGTCTTCGCATTGAGTTACATGCCCAGATTTTTTTTTTTTTTTTAAAGACAGGGTCTTACTATGTGATTCAGGCTGGCCTTGAGCTCACTATGTAGCCAGGCTGGCCTCAAACTCATGGTGATCCTCCTGCCTCAGCCTCCCGAGTGCTGGGATTACAGGGGTGTACCACCACACCCGGCACATCAATTTTTTTAAAAAGGAGGTTTTAACACATGCATGGGATGAACAAGTAGAACTCATCACTACCTGTGTGTAAACCAATATAAAAGGTTTATCTGTCTGACTCCATTATTAACTTCTTTCCTCATAAGCCTGGAGATGCTGGAGGCACAAGCCAGTATCTGTCATCTTTCCAGTAATGATGGTGACAGCAGCAATGATCTCCCTGTGCTCCTTACTTACCAGCAACTGTGGCTGGTCTGAATTGCCTGCCACATCAGCTCCTCACAGGGTGCTATGGAAGTGTCTGCTGTTCCTAGGTTAGGGACAAAAACTGAGGCTCACACAGCCCACCTGTTACCTTCTGGTCTCACAATAAAACAAACAAGGGCCTGTGAAATGTTTGCCTCAGCACTGCTGTGCACAGAAATGACGTGCAATAAACACATGGCTCTCACAGTCATACTGGCTCTTCCACAAAACACTAAGCACAGTGCAAATAGCACTAAGATGCATCTCAGGTAGGCCTGGGTACAGGCACATGCCTACAAATCCCAGCTACTCAGAGGCTGAAGCAGAAGAATCACATTTACTAAATAAAATGTGTCAGGGATCTTTCTCAGTGGTACTCAGGTTCAATTCCCAGTACTTAAAAAAAAAGAGCTCACAAACAGACCACAAAAGGCAAACCCATTACCTCTTCTTTCCTGATGTAACTAACATTTATGAAACACTCAAGCAGCATATCTTTAATTTCTCTACTCTCCTCTGAGTCATAATCAAAGCAATATAAAGCTTGATGAACACGCCAGAGCCGACACACATCTGCACCCTAGGAATAACACAGGAAAGAATGTTACACTTAGCACTTAGCTTTTTTCTTTAAAATGAATAGTAAGGTCTATTTCCAATTATGTATATTTTATATCTAGAATAATATTGTAGATGAATCATCACAGTAGAAAACAGTGACAAGTGAAAACATCTTAAACTTCACAAATGCTACTTGTAGCTCTGCAGAGCATTTTCTTTTAAACACGGGACAAAGCTGTCGGAACTCTGGCACTATTCAGTACAGCCTCTGCCGAGACAAGACACTCTTCCTGTTCACACAGCAGACGTCAAGCACATCTGGCTCCTGAGCTCCCGAAATGTGATACTACAACCAAGGTTCCCAATTTTTCCATTTTTTTAACATTAAATGAAATAGTTCCATGTGGCTATGGGTTATTGCACTGAACAGCACAGGTTTAGAATACTAAGCAAACAATGAAGATAGAGTCTTGATTTAAAAGCAGAAAATATTTACAGGGACAATGAACTTTTAAAAAACAAATCAGTGATGGCATAAAAATAATTCTGACACAAAGAAACGTTTCTCAGTCACTCTTTGCCAGCAAGGAGAATCAGAGCACTAGTCAAGGAGCAGCCAGACAAGGCTCCTCTATCCTAACAGTGGCTGCTCCTGAAGAGGGTATGAGACCCTCAGATGCAAGTGGCAGGAATGTGAGGCGGTACCAGCTTTCTAACAAGTCCCTGGCAATCCATGTCAAGTCTTCATGCTCCTCCTTATTAAGTGAAGGCCCTGAGTAGGAAGGTCAAAAACAAATACCTTCAATGTTCTAAAATAATGATCGCTTTGGGTGGTGGAATTATGGATCATTTTTATTTTAATTTGCCCAGATTTCTAAGATTAACACATGAATTATTGCTTTGATCAGGCAAATAGCTGTTCTTTTTCTAGATTTCTGAACTATTTACCGAAGACTAATGTTTTAAAAATCTTTAACGGCACTCTCCATACCCTAGACACAACTTCCTTGGGACTACACTTGATGTGACATGGTCCCCATCAATCATCACTGTACCTGAATCCAGTGTGACACTCTGTCTACACCCTGGCCAGGCCCTGTGCAAAGACCCTGCCTCTCAGAGGACCTTAAAGATGAAGTGGACCCCACCCTGCCCTGCCCCTCTGTTCCTTCAGCAAACAGAGGTGCTCAGGACCTGAGAAGGGCTGGCCTTTCCTGCTCCTGTGCTTTCTCTTCCTGCCTCATCTGCTATGAGGGGAGCAGCTGTGTTGCCACTGCAAAGTGACAAGACAGAGGCCCCTGGGAGGAAGGAGGAGGGAAAGCTAGCTAGGCTTTCAGTCTCAGTGGAGTTGCCAGCCACTCCGATCTCTCCACAGCTAACAGTTGACAGCATCTACCACACCCGGCAAGCTATCTTGGCCAGGCATCTCCCAGCCAAACAATCTGAATTTCTAAGTAAAGAAAGTGAACGCACGGCTTTGGTCTCCAGACTCCTCCTCAGCAGCATGACAAAAGCCGTCTTCCCCATGTCTTCCTTGGCAGGCAGGCCCTTCTCCCACCACCTGACACACAGGGCCTGTATGGAGCTCTGCAGTTTCCGCTCAGATTCTGGCAACGCATACAAAATGCCTACAATAGAGCATAGGGTTCTTCATCAGATCCCACAGCAGACTGCCATGACTGCACTGCAGCATGGCAAGCAGACCCCTGTCAAAGTCTAATGTGCCAAAGACTTAGAATCATGAGTTCAAGTCCCACCTAGGCAATTTAGTGACACTCTCTCTCAAAATCAATCAATCTGCAGTTTTCATAAACAGAACGCTCAACAATTAATAGTACTAATATACTCACAATTATCTACAAATATTTGAATGTCATATAAACACAGAATCCCTAACTAACTGGGAATGTGGCAGCAACCATGTTAGCTCTATCATCTTATCAAACAGGTACTTGGAGATTGTGCAAATAAAACTGGTCATAAAAGTCACAAAGTACGTGAGAACTATTTTTATTTTGATTAGGAGTGACTTTTTAGGGGCTATAGCTCAGTGGCATAGCACCTGTGTGGTGGGAGTGGAGGGGAGGGAAAAAGGAGTGACTTTTTAGTAAGAGACTGTATTTCAAGAATTCAGACTAAAATAACATACTGAAGAGATACACAAATCTAAATGATGCCCAGAACGAAGTTTATAGAGGGCTAGGGATATAACTCAGTGGCACAATGCCTGCGTGGCAAGCCCAAGGTCCTGAGTTCTATGCCTGGTACCAAAAAAAATAATCTACAGAGATGCCAGTATGGTTGTACACACCTATAATCCCTAAACCCTGGCAGGCTGAAGCAGGAGGATCATCAATTCAAGCCCAGCCTAGGCAATTAGTGAGGCCCAGTCTCACCAAAAAATTAAACTGGGTGTGGTAGTACATGCCTGTAATGGCAACCCTTGGGGGGCATGGGCAGGAGGCTCACTGTGAGTTTAAGGTCAGCCTGTACTACATAATGAGACCAAAAGAACAAAGAAATCCAACCTCCCCCCACAAAAAACTAAATAAACAAAACTTTGCGAAAAATAAAAAAAATTTCTTTTAAAGTTTGGTAATATAGCTCAACACAAAGGCCCTGGGTTCATGCTCCACTGTCAGAAGAAAAAAAAAAGCTCAGTGAGAGAATGTGTGCCAAGAAGGCTAAGGGTACTAGGAGAAAATTCTTAAAAGTCATTCCTTAAAATAAAACTTATTTTTTATCTTTTCTAAAATAACTTCATGTAAGTATTTTATAATCACGCACCTTTCATTAATTCAGACTACTACATCTTTTAAGTATCCCTTTACTTCCCAGTTAAAGCCTGACAAATAAAGCCAGGAGTGGTAGCAAAGCCACAGAATCCCAGCACTCGGAAGGATGGGCAGGAGGATGGCCACAAGTTTGAGACCAGCCTGGGCTCCACAGTGAGTTCCAGGCAAATCTGTACTATGCAGCAGATCCTGCCTCAAAAAAACAAACAAACAAAAAAAAACCCTAAACCCAACAAGTACCATGGGAATCACTAATTACGCCTCATGTCATACTCATAAGTTTAAAAAAAAAGATGCCATAAATTCTCGGTTAGACTGGCATATCAGGTATAATAGAAGCTGGGAACCTGACAATCAGATACTGCCCTTCAAGCCAACTCATGGTCATTGTTCCATAAGTGAAGAGCCTGGAAACAGGGGTCAGGACTCAGAACTGCGCATCTCTCCACTGGAAACACTGAGGTAGAACGGGAATTCACTGAGTCCTCCAGGAGGTCTTCACCAGGGGTTCCTTTGCAGCTGGGGTTCCAGAGCCTGACAGCAGAGCTGTGCTTATCCTACCTCTGTGCCTATGCTCAGCCTTGCTCTGACAGCAGGGCCTCCTTTTCAGCACCCCGCTGCTACAAGTGCCCTGCCAGTAAAGGCACTCACCATTTAGTATTACAGCACATTCCAGGAGGGCCTCATAGTTCTCATTTTCATTTATCACAGAGACAGAAGCCAGAATCACAGACGTAACTGCGTGGATTATCTCTATGTTTTTTTTCTATAAATGAAAAAGCATGAACAAATTAAAATCACCAATTTGAAACTCAATTTTTAAAAGAAATTGAAGTTATTAAATTTCTAAACTCAAGCCACTTTTAGCTTATTCTAAAAATAAATTAAAATTGAATAAAGTTCAACTGTGCTAAAAGAACAGCGACCGCAGGTACTAGATTAATAATAGTAAGGTTTGGAAATTTGTAAAACTGCAACGAACAGAACATCTAAAAGTCTTTGCTTCTAACTCCAAAACTTTTAATTTAAAACTCAGTTATACACAATAAATAACTTTTCTGCCAGGCATGGCGGCACATGCCTATAGCCTATAATGCCAGCACTTGGGAGGCTGAGACAGTGCTGGGAGTTTGAGGCCAGCCTGGGCTACATAAGTGAGTTTAAGGCCAGCCTGCATTACTTAGTGAGACCCTGCCTCACAAACACAAAAAAAAGAAAGAAAGAAACAACTTTTTTAACACAGAAAAGGGAATTTTTTATTTCTGAAAGACAAATACCATTTTTGGACTTTGCTCTGTTTCCATATTATCTTCATCCTGGACTTCTACTATCTGCCACCCATCCACTGGGCTTTCCAGCAACATTTCTGTTAATAAATTCTTCAGTCTTTGCCATAATTCTTCTTTTTGTTTTCTTGACAATTCATCTAATAACTCATTTAGGCTAAAAGGATCAGAGGCATCTTTCTGCAAAATAAATACAAAAAATTAGTTGTATCCTTTACAGAATGGCATCAAAAGAAAAAATGAAGTGTTAGTTAGAAGTTCAAGAGTTTGGTTGCAGTTTTCAAAATCTACTCATAAAACTGAAAAAGTACAGGGATTAACATATAGAAAGTAAGAGTTCAAAATTTTACCCACTTAAGAAAACCCTAGAACCAACTCAAGTATTTATCATCTCCAGGTCTATAATTAGGTTATAAAAGTTTGCTAGTCAAATAGTGGTAACAACAATAAAACAACATGACCAAGCCTATGGGCACTTCAGCTTGTGGTACCCAAGCCCACATAGTCCCTTAGCTTCACCTCAGACTTCTCCCTAGAGAGCTGTCTCTTCCTTAGCCTAGGGGACTTTTCATATGTCTCCAGCTGTTCCCTGGACCCACTGGACAGAGAACACCACATACTGTTTGAGAAGCAATTACAGGCCACTATCAAAGGGTACAGAATCCAGTTAAAGAGACTTCCTATAACCACTTTGGGACAATCTGAGCACCCACCATTGTGGTGACAGTGAAGGATTATAACTTATGGAATAAAATGATCAATGAGGCCCTACCAATAATAAGTGAACAATAAAAAACAAATCATTCATTAACAGCACTGGCATGCTGTAGAATGGCAATGAATAGATACAGAAGGAATATGGAGTTCAAATACCACAGCTTTACAGCCATCATGGTAATAATGCACTTGGGCAAGAATTATCAACAGATGCTAAAATAAGCAGGTGGAAGTCTGCTGAGAAGCAGGACGTGTACAGTGCCAAGAGACCTCCCCAAGACTGCTTATGATACCAGAGGTAACAGCAGGCTCCCAGTGAGCCACTGGGCATCTCTGCCCAGGCACCAATACTGACTGACACACTTGCTCCCATTTGACAGAGCTGCACTTGGAGCCCAGACACCACAATGCTCTTGCCAAAGCTCTGACACTGGGTCTAATAGATCACTATCACTAAGCAGATGCAAATGAAGGAGCCACACAAGGGCTGCCAGGACTCTTGAACCATAGGTGTTGCAAAAAGGACCTGGAGGAGAGGCCCTCCTCGAGCAGATAGCACTAAGGAACATGTGACACTGGCTGCATCCTAGGTCAGGAAAAAGCACTGATGGAAAGGATGCTATTAGACCATGTGGAAATGTGAATATGTACTGCAGGTAACTGGTATCGGCATGGTTAGAGTCCCAGGTTTTGAAGATCTTAATCTAGTTACAGCAGGACAACCTTGCCATTATTTCAATAGAAAAGGGAAGAAAGGGAGAGAATGGGAGCCACTGCAGTGAGTCCCTAAACATCCAGCACAGGGTTCTTCGTCCCCTGCTCTACCTGGGAAGGGCCGGACTATCCAGGAGCATGTGGTCAGGCCCCATCCATGCTCTGCTGGGGACCTGTGGCCCTTATTACTCCCTTACTGGTGGAAATCGGATCCTGCCTCATGGCTCTGCTGACTATTCTTGCCAAGGTCCATGACAGCCAGTGGCCACTTCTTGTTCCTCATTCCACTGTCCTTGTTCCGCTCATGACAGCCACTCTCAGCTCACCTCCCACCTGGTGGGGGCTCCTTAGGACCCAGCCTGGCCACTTCTTCTCAACCTCCTCCTTCCTGGTGGTGCCCCGCCTCAGCAACCCACATGCCCCCTTCGGATCTCTGTAGAATTCAGCAAAATTCAGCAGACCTCTATGCAAACACCACCCCTGGAAGCCTCCACTGATGCACCCAGCACTCCTGTCCTTTTTCCTCCTTACGATTTACATAGTTGTTTCTCTCCCTCCACACTGGAACGGTGACTATTGTGTACGCTCTGTACCCCGAAGGCATATGAAACACATATGAAACGAGTCAGACGACAAAGCCTTCCTCAGCCCTGCGACCTCCTGTCACTGACTCTCCATAGAGGATCAGGTACAGGATAGAGCCCTTTCTGCTCTTCTAACATTTGTTTAGAAACAATCTGTTCCAATGCTATGAATTCATTAGAGAACAATCTGAGCAAAAGGCAAACTTCATCAGCGTCACCCCAAATGCATGGATTCCTGGCAGCTCAGTCCATCTATTTCCAGGCCATAAACTGTGTATACCCCACTCACTGCCATCACAACTGCTCCCCACAGACCCCAGCACCCCCATGTTTCCCTCAGCTTCAGTCTTCTTTTTCTTCTCTGCTCTCTCTTATTCTCTTCCTCTCCCAGAGGGAGGATAGGTATATCAGGCGAACACACACTTGCTCTATTTATACACTTCCATCTCCAATCCAGACATTTTCCCTGGGCCTCAAACACACTTGTCCATCTGTTTCACAGCCTTGGGCATGACCCATTGGCAGCCATCCAGCACCCCTAAAACTGAACCATCTTTTCCCTCAAACCTTCCTAGATCCAGTCTCCTGTATCACCTAATGAAACAGTGCTACCACCTCTCCACCACAGACCTTCTGCTCCACCCCACAGCCAACCACCCATGAAGAGCACACCCCTGATTACTACTCCCCAGCAGCTTGTGGTCCCTTTATACTGGTCTTCATGTGCAGCCTGGTCACCTCTCTTCTACTCCAGTTTTCTCTCCACTCATTGGTTCCCCTCCTCCTTGGAGGTAGGTTACTCCCTCTGGACACCCTGCACTGCCCTCAGGACAAGCGGTGAATTCCTTAAAAAGGCAGAGTGCGCCTCCCTCTTTACCTTGTCCACACTCAGGCCCTGCAGAACATCTTCAGGTTCAAACACAACCTGCCTTTTCCTGGCCAGGGTCCCCTCAACTACTTGGCCTTCTGACTAATTCACTTGTTTACCTTCTGTGTCTTAGCTCAACCCACCTGCAGATCTAATTAGGCCTAGAGAAGTTTTGTTGTCTCTTTTTAAAAATAAACAGGGATATAGCTCAGTGGCACAAGTGCCTGTCTGCCAGGCACAAGGTCCTGAGTTTGATTCCCGGTACCAAAAAATAAAAATAAATAAATAAACAAATAAAAATAAACACTGGTCCCTATGATTTCAGTAAAATAACTGCATCACATCTGTGGCATAATAATTTTAGAACATGATTTTATATTAATCATCAAGTGAAACATAGACTTACATCAAGCTGAACAAATTGCAAAAACTCTCCAACCAGCTCCTTAGACACCGCCTGTACAAATGTCTCCCGTTTTTCCATGACAGATGAAACTGTTTAAATGGCATTTGTCTTGTAAACCTAGAAGAAAAAAACAAATATACTGGAACTTACACTTGGAAATATATTTTTTTCTACAGATTTAGTTCAGTAAAATATCAAAGAACTGAAAAAATCCTGTATCACCTATGGTGGTGTGTTCCTAACAATATTCCGATACATAATAAATTATAATAATCTAAAAAATAATTTCATTACTGAGGATATTATCAACATAATACCAATAGTACAACATAATCGATTGTTAAAGTTACCAACTACGGAAAGAAAAATCCGAATGGTCTTAGGAAGCTCACCTTCTGTCCTTCTTAGCTAGTCTTGCCTTTTTCAGTATCTTAGCTAGATGCTGGCTCATGCAGATCTGAGATAATTCCACAGGAAAACAGGCTGATCCCCACCCCTGCTGCTGAATTCTAAAACCCTCCCTTCCAACAGTCTTCCCTCCTAGATCTCACCTTAGAGTCCTCTTGTTATTCAACCTGAGAACTTGTTATTCAAAGTTAGGACCAGACAGAGGCCCTGAGGTCACCAGGGAGCTTGTTAGCTGGTGCACAAGGGTTGCCAACTTTGGTACCCTCCCTGCAGAATAATGAGAGCTCAGGGACTGGGTACACTCCTAGTGACAGTTCCCCCAGGAAATACTATTTTACACTTACACCACTGGATGCTAGTCTTGCCTTTTTCAAAAGACATCAACCCAAAGACACAGTAATAGCAAATGAAGGAACATATTTGCAACAGGACTCCCTCACCTGGAAAAGAGAAACTCGCCTCATTATAAACAGAGCTGTATGGAGGATGACTGACAAACTGGAGTCATCTTAAAGGTACAGTCTTAGATTTTAATTTCTAAATTGAACCAAAAAAAGGTAGAAAATAAGTGGATGACTCCCTGCTAAGTACGCCCGGACACAGCCCCATCACTCCGCAGCTCGGACGGCCGAACTGCGCACGACGGCTTTGCACCAC